CAAAAATGAAACAAATACGTGTTTAAAAAAAAAAAAAAAAAGGCAAATTGGTAGAATTTACAGGATCTATGAAAGTCAGATGCACCCAGTCCCACTCCATGAGCTCAAGCCAGAGCCGAATGCATTCACAAAGCTTAAAGTTTCAATCAGAAAAAAATCACTCTTTCCTTTATTTGTTATATTCAATGCTAGGATAATAATAGGCCACATTTAGGAATATGCAGCCTCAATTCTGCAGTGAGGCACAGAACATTTACTAGAGCCAGAGTAAGGTGGAATTTTTAGCCCAAACCCTACCCTGCTAGAAAGGCCCTAGTTTGGGGCATTTCTCCTACCTGTGATTGCACATTGGCTCCGACTTGGGACCCCTGGTAAGAATCCCCATTCAGACTCTGCATGTTCATGAACATGTCCCCAGAATTTGGGAGGTTAAAAGAACCAGAAGAACCTGGAAAGGAAAGAGTTAAGTAGCTGAATAACAGAGAGCTACAAATATATAACCCCAAAGCCCTCAAGGCAGGGGAAGATGAAGAAGAAAAGGAAACAAGGAGGAAAAGTAGTGCATAACAGAGAATAAGTTTCATGACCTAAAACAAAGGCAAATTACCAATGACACAGAGCTAGACTGTGAGCCACATGGCTAAGGATACAGTACTGGTTGGCAGCCATTGCACCTGTGAGAAGCACTTTGGATGGAGATTCCTAGGCACAAACCGAATCAAGCAGCAAGATCAAGGCCTCTTCTGACACTCTGTGCCCATGAGCTCCTTTTTAAACACCATTGCTACCACTTTGTTCCATCACATTAACTGTCATGGTAGACGATTGCTCTAGGAGGTACAGAAAAGCGGCACAACCCGAAGTCTAGCTCTCCATGTGGAAGAGCAACTCACTGTACAGTAGGATGTATTTAAAACAGAGTGCTTTTCTCTGGTGGAATTCTTTACCATTAGGTGCTACTGCTAAATTCTCTGAGAAAAAAACTTATTCTGAGTGTGTGTTTAATGTCTCCTTGGGAAGAAAATGGCTGGTAATTGCCTATTAAGTTGATTTTTTGCCATCAAAGTAAGAAAATCTCCCCCCCCCCACTTACTCACTTTCTTTCCACAGAGAATATTTCCATAGTACATTTTTAAAACATTCTCTACAGTTAAGTTACAGCAAAACTTTAGCTGTAAATAAGAATCAGAGACATCACTACTTTGGTGGAGACCTTTGCTTTCTGGCCCCAACAGAACTCCTTCCCCTTAGAGGCTCCTAGCTCAGTGCTTATCTCTACAACCGTGGTTCTCAACTAGGGCTACGCATACCCCTGGGGGCACGCAGAGGTCTGCCAGGGGGGACATCAACTCATCTAGAGATTTGCCTAGTTTTACAACAGGCTACATAAAAAGCACTAGCGAAGTCAGGACAAGCTAAAATTTCATACAGACAATGACTTGTTTGTTCTGCCCTATGTACTATACACTGAAATGTAAGTACAAAAGTTATATTCTAATTTATTTATTTTATTATTATATGGTAAAAATGAGAAAGTCAGCAATTTTTCAGTAACAGTGTGGCTGGGACACTATTGTATTTTAATGTCTGATTTTGTAAGCAAGTAGTTTTTAAGTGAGGTGAAACTTGGGGGGTACGCAAGACAAATCAGAGCCCTGAAAGGGGTACAGTCGTCTGGAGAGGTTGAGAACGACTGCTCTACAATATGCAGACAACACATTAGTAAGAAATTTCTAAAAGACTGTAAATGATCAGGTGATAATGGAACCCTAAAACAAACGTCTACCTCAGATATATGTTTTATATACACTATTAATTCATTTCAAGCAGCCCAGCATTTAAAGTCCAATTAGTGTACAGCAGAATGTAAATATTCCCCTCTACACCATTTCATTCGTCACTCAACATTTCAAGCCTTCAACACTGTGTTGAACAGCCATGGAACTCTGCCTGACTTCTTCTTTAACTGGGGGAGAAAACACTGCTGAAACAGCTACAGGAAAAGGAAACTGCCAAAAAGCTGACACTGGCAGTGACACGTTCATTTTGTGGATTAAAACTGGGGTTCTCAAAAGTGCTCAGCATTAGCCTGACTCCATTCCCACTGAAGTCAACTGGCATTCTACCACTGAAGTTAATGGGGTGGTTAAACCAACACCCAACATTTCTTAGAAATCCCACTCTACATTCTTACATGATGCCATGGCTAAGTCTGGCTGAGGAATACTGCAACATTCTGAACCAAACCAAATTCACTGCAAATCCTTCCCACTTGGCTTTTCAGGATGTTTTCATTTACTGGGCTGGGTGAATGAAAAGGCTCCTGGTACGTACCAGAGTTTGGTGTGGTGGGGGAGTTTGTCTGGTTATTCTGGACAGCTGCTGCCACGGCATGTGCTGCAGTCACAGCTGTTTTTGCAGCATAAAGATTGGCTTCTTCCTGAAACTTCCCTATATTCTTCTTGTACCTGATTCTCTTATTGCCAAACCAGTTGGATACCTATTGGTTGGGAGGAGAAAAAGGGAAAAACAGTCAAGCCTCTGATAGCGTTCGGCAGGAAGAGGTGTGATCGCTTCCAAATGTCAAGTTTGGGTCCATCAAATACACAATCCCCAGCCTTCAATCGAATATCCGCTGGGTACTTAGACTAACTAAGCAATAATCAAGGATCAGTTGAATAGTATTATAGATATGAGCATGACATGGTTCAGTTTGTCTCTTGGCAAAACTAATACACAAGGGGTTACTCTTATGACAACATGCATCTTGGAGTTTGCTGTGCAGTTAGCATGGTTTTGCCTACTGTTAATAACAAGGCATTTGTCAAGCAAATGAACACTAGAACCACTGACGGGAGGTAAAGGTAACATTTGATTAAGTGAAAGACAGAAAGAGCTGGAAACGAATGTAATTGTTCTTTATTTTTGGGCTGGAACAACCTTGGCAGCCCTACAGTTGGAGTCGTGTTTGGTCTGCTGAAAATGAAAGGAACAATATAAATCAATAATGGATGAAAAGTTGCTTTGTCATCTCCCTTTGAAGATACTGCATGGATGCCAAGATGGCTGATAAGGCTCTAACTATTAACCCATGCAAAGGTCATGGCTGGAGCAGCTTAAACAAAGCCACTGAGAAATCATACAAACATTTCTAATTTCAGCCTTTAGAATAAAGTTCTTAATTAATAATCACAGTTCATTACATATGCGGCATACAGTGCCATCAAGAAAATGCCTTGTTCCATGAACAAAGCTATTTGCACTGTATTCGTGCCGACACTCTGCAATGTAATTCTAAAAGGAAACGGGTCCCTAACAATGGAAATCTGAAGTTTACAAGATTGTATGGCAGTAGCTGACGTGAACACTGCCATGTTCACTTAGAACATTCAACTTCTGGACTTCACCCCCTTGTACTCATAGGGCTCGCTGCATGTCCTTTGTTTAGTTATGAAAAGATTAGTGCAACTTCATAGTCACAGATAAACAACAGTTATCACTGTCTGATGATTTTAAAACATATTCAAAAACTAAATTTCACAGATGATCATTACTTTCTGACACTAGTGCCTAGAGGTCTGGAACAAAATCAGGGCCCCATTGTCCTGCACTTTGTACAAACTCATAGTAAGAGACAGCCCCTGCCCCAAGAGCTTATGCTCCAAACAGACAAGACAGGCAAAGGGTGTGAGTATTTATTACTATTGCCCCCATTGTACAGATGGGAACTGAGGCACAGAGAAATTTTCCCCCCAGGTCACCCTGGCAGTCTGTGGCAAGCAGGGAATTGAATTAGGGTCTCTTGAGACCTAGTCTGCTACTTTAAGCACAAGCCCAAACTCCCGCCCTTCCCTTGGAGGGAAAGCCAGACTATCAATAGCATGTGGAAATTTCACTCCTGGTCTTTGTCCACATCTAAGCCCCATCGGTAGTGACTGCAAGTCTGACTGCTATTTGGAGGCCTATGCACAACAGAAAGATACTCAAAATCCAACCAGCTGAATTCACAGTCACCGGCACTCTCGTAAAGGGAGAGATTCCCTACCCAGGGAATAAGAATTTTTGTCCTATTAACGATGACTTTCAGAAAACAACAGTTACCGATAAACAGAAATCTACCAATTTTCCATTTTTGGCCAAGGCTGAGTCTGTTTTAGAAGAAGGTCTTTTCAGAGCAAACCCTGTAAGGACGGGGATGGAGTTACGTGACAAACACAGGGCCTCGTGGGTCACGAAGGCTTGTTTGGTGGTCTCTGCTGTGTCCCTAGATGCATGCCTTCTCCTGCCTGCCTTTCCATGAATCATACGGGCTGCAGGCAGGTCTGTTTTTTATTTCCATTTGCTTGCTAGGGGCCCACAGTCCAACAGAGTCCAACACCCACTGAAATCAACGTGAGTCTTTTAACTGACATCAACGGATCTTGGAGCAGTGCCTTAAACTTCTAACTCCTGTTTCCATGATACCAGATATGGAGTCATGACCATCAGCTGATGCTGCGCTTGGTTTCATTTGTTTGTTTTGAAATGACCATGTGGAACATCCCTTGACACAGAGGAAGTAACACCCTTCTGTACAGACACAGGAACCCTGCACAGCTCCTTCCCTCTCATAAAAAGAAACAGAAATCACCAGGAATTGTACTTCTGCCTTGCACGCTGTAGGATATGGATACAAGTGACTACAGCTCTCGAATGCTATTCCATTTAAAAGGACAACACATGGAACAAGCAGAACACAGCTGTAGTGTATAGCTTGATAAGGCAACCTGGTTATAGGGAGGAGATTTTAAAAATGCCAAAATTATATACCATACCGCGGGAATTTCAGATAATTAATGAAAAGCCTCCAGCTTTAAATGTAATAAGGAAAGTGTGCCTTATACTTTCTTTTCCCTGGACAATACTCCATTGTATTCTATATATTGCACTTAATATTACCTTGTCAGTCAGGGAAGCAATAATACATTAATGAAACCCAGCAAATAATTATTGTAGACAATCAGATTACAGCTTTATTAACAGTTTCATAATTGAGGAATCTCTGTACATCAACGATATTGTCCGAGGATGTGTAAGAACCCTCTGTTTATGCCCACCTCTGGACCAATCAAACAACAGCCATCACTAATAAAGGTTTATTTAATTCTCACAGTAAAATTTTAATATCACCAGCAGCCTGGGGAAGCCTCAGCGAGTGGATTTGCTTGACATCAGATCGTTTCCATTCTGCTAGTCCCAATACTTCTTAATCTTTAATATCAAGGCAATTAAAATTAATGGCCACTCATCCAAAGCCACTGTGGGCAGTGTTTCCTTGACATCAATTGTTTGATGGGATTACCTAGAGGTTAAACTAACAAGCAAGGTTTAATTGGAAGCAATGAAAGGAGCAGTGATCATACGTTATGTTTAACCTGCATACCACATCTAAATGAATATCTAAAAAAATGTTAAACTATTTCTCAAATTAAAATCTGCGCTCAACACTTGGGTTAGGGTTTCACCGGTCACCTCCGGAAAAGTCTGTTTCTGACACTAAAATCAGAATTCATGTATATATCTCGCCAAGCCCACCCACGGATTGTTTTAGAAAATCCTTCATCCAATAGATTTGCAGTTGAGCTGTAGTGGAGTCAGGCGCTTGCAGTCTAGAGACGCTACTAAACCAAGGTCTTGGATCCACACATGGACAAACGGACATGTGGACAGAACAAGGGCGGGTCCAGGGGGGTGAGCAAGTGAATACGAGTAGGCACGTCAGCTCTGAGCGTGGAGATAATTGGGCCCTGCTCCCACTTGCCTCCAGCTGCTGTGCTTTCATCGTTTCCAGGCAGGCCCTTGGTGGTGGCGGATGCTGCACAGGCTCGGAGGGCCGTACAGGCCAGGGCTCTCTCTTAGCCAGGCTTTCGGCTGGCTTCCTGGTGCTCGTGTTTGTCTGGGTCAGCTGTGTTATTCCCAGGGCTCACTTGGGACTTGAGCACCTGCAGCTCCCGCCGGAATCAGGGTTTGACTCTTCTCCCTCCAGCTCAGTGACTATCTGCCTCCCACCCCAGGGGAAAGCACACGTGGCACGTAGGCTGCACCCCTGCGCGGGGTCCCTCCTGGCTGCAGCTTTTCCTAGCGCACCTGGGCTGCTTTCCAGCTCCCGCTGGAGCAGGGTCTGGATTTAGGAGAGGTTGGAAAACCCTGACCTGCAGCTGAACCCTTGGAGGCTGGTAGTAGGAGCAGCAGAGACCCGGCGGGTGATCCCTGGAAGCAGAACTCCAGCACTGACCGAGCGAGCCCCCAATGGCAGCATCAGTTGTCCACCGCACGCTGCATAGTCAGGCCTGGCAGCAAGCTGGGGCTGCAGCACACCCCAGCGTGGGAGCTGCTGTGACTCCACCTGGGGAGCCCCACACCAGGCTCTCACTGGAACCGGGTGGTCAGGGGGTGGCGGGAGGCCTCTTTCAGAACAGGGGGTTTGGGAGTTCACATCTCGCAGAGCTATAGTTTCAGGCAGTCTTCAGACTCAGGCAGACGTCTGCATCAGTTACGCTTGGTTTGTGTTTTCAAGCTTTTCTTTACAAACATGACGGCTAGAGCCTCACTTCATTTCGTTACATGGCATCTGAGATTCTGACATAATCACTTGACTCCTGGAGCTGGGGCCCTACTCGTGGGCACAGAGTGGCTGTGCCTTAATACGGCCCTGACCGCAGTCTCATGCTCCCTGTCTCAGCCTATTTGGAGGAGGGGGAGGCACTTTCAAAGCAGCAGGCACCTGCTACAGGAAACATTCATTCAAAGTTTGCTTGAAAGGCCTGACAGTGACTCATGGACAAACATGTCAGTGGATATTAGGAACAGAGGAAAGTTTGATCACTTTGGATCTGTGCTGTGGTATCCAGGAATCACTGACCCAGGGAGGAGAATCCTATGACATGTATGAAATTGTTTCCAATGAGTGAATAAAGGTTTTCCTATCCAGTGAGACCATTAAAAATTCCCATTCGCTGCTCCACGTAACACAAATGGCTTCCTTATCTCCCTGCACTCAGAACAGCGGATACTCCAGTGCCACGCGGGGGTGTCTGTCCATACAGGTGGGCACCCAGTGCTGGAGGTGCCCGTGATGCGGGGAGATCAGTAAACATTTCAGTTTAAGATGAGAGAACCTTTCGGCTGAGCAGGTGGGTGCATGAAGTACTCCACAGCTTGGCCTGAAATCAGGAGTTTCCATATTGCAACCCTCTGTGCTCTTCTGGAAGGGGGTATATTTTAGACTTCGTTTATGACACTGCTAAGACGTTCCTGGTCGCCAGAATTACTCTCTTCACCCTCTTTTAATGTCCACCTCAGAGCAGTGGGCTCGCACAGGAACAGTGGCTCCATGCAATGAGCTCCCCATGAAGGTCAGCAGGGATCTATACCATTCGAAGCTCTATGCCTCACCCCTGCTACGAGCGGCAGTAACTGTTACACAGCAGCATGACGGCTTCGGTTACCAGCTCAAGTCTT